AGGACGACTTGGTTTTCCTGCAGCTGGTCTTTCACCAGGATAACTAGGTTTGTCATCAATTATTCTTTCATCAGGCTCATCATGATGACTGGGTTTTCTTCCAGCTGGTTTTTCATCAGATCGACTTGGCCTTCCTGCAGCTGGTTTTTCATCAGGACGACTTGGTTTCCCTGCTGCTGGTCTATCCTCTGGCCAACTGGGTCTATCTTCAATTGGTTTATCATCCTCTGGACGAATCAACAATTTAACAACTTTTTCAGACTTATCTGGACTCGGTGATCTCTCTTTCGGTCTACTTGGTTTACCAGCTGCTGGTATTGGTTGCTGTTTTCTTGTTGGTGACACGTAATCTCGCACTTTTCCATCGGGCCTAACAGATCAATACAATTATCATAAATTTAAAGTATAATGCGATTGAATATAAAAATCCCAGTCAATAATTTAAACGTCATATTTATAAATTTGTTTCCGTTTCAAATATATTTCAGAATTATTAACTCTTTTACTTTTATTTTAAATTAAAATTCATTATTATTTATGTATTGTTAGCTTACAAAAAAAATGAAATTGCATAGAACTCACTTTTTGAAATCATCTGTTTGAGTTTTTTCAGGTTGCTGTGGACGAGATGGTTTTCCAGCAGCTGGAATTGGTTTCGTTCGATCGTCTTCCCGAATTCCTGGTATTCCTTGGGGATAACCAAGTCTTTCCGGAGAAGTTTTTCTCGTTGAATCGGTCGTTGATTTAGGAGTTGAGCTGGTGATCTTCTCGTATCGAGTGTCGTCGACGACATCTCGAGCTACCATACTAGTCACCTGCTCTGTGTCGATAAATTCTTTCGTTGATTTAGTGACATCTCTCTGGGAAAAGAAAAAAAAAGAAAAAACATTACTTTTTATATGTATATAAATTATATTCTCGTTTAATAACTGAAAAATATTATATTATATGCTAATTTGAGATGTACTGTCTCTTTCTATTAACATCGTACGTGTTATGAATGATGCAACGAACACGTAGTCCATAGTATTCATACGAATTAATCGTTTATTATCTTATCTTGTCAACGAACCCAAGACCGTTAGCCAGTTCATTCACCTCAAATACAATTAAAACGGACTTTGCTAATCGAAATAATTTGCGTTACGCTAATTACAGTTGCTTTCACGAGCTGCTTACTAATTTCTCACTTGTAGATAATAAAACGTCATTTTCGTACTTAGTTGTTTTTTTTTTTTTTATATAGAAAATTATTAAATACTATTATTTTTAAAAGGATATATAAATATAATATGATATTATAAAATTTCTAATCTAATCTAATATCGTAGAAAAAGAAAAAACTATTGTTAAAATAATTAATTACAAAACACAATGAAAATAAAACAAATCTATAATAATCATAGAATCATGTTTCTTTAAAGATTTGACGTACGAATAATTTACAAGTTTGAGAAAAAAATATGCAGCTACTTGATAATATATACAAAGTCAAAGCAATTTACGTACGATTATAACTCACAGCTACAATTAAGGAAATCTAATCGATCGATTAGAAAAGATGAAGTAAGCAACACCATATTTCCTAATGATTATCTCTAAACACTACCATAGTATAAACAAGAATATAAAACAAAAATCTGCTATTAAATAGCATTAATTTCGCATTAGAATGAAATCACTCCCTCGTGATAATCGATGAATCGAGAACAAGAAAAAAATAACACGTGATTGAAGCATAAATTTCTAATCTCATATATAGAAGATAAAAAAATATATATACACGTTAATGATACAGTCAGTTAAACATAGATTACAAGGTGTAGAGAGATCATAATGAGAATGAGTAAAAAGATTTGAGTTTTCTATTAATTATATCTATTTGAATTATACTAATTTGTCTAATGTAAAAAAAAAAAAGAAACAAAAAGAGAAAGAGAGAAATGTTTAAACAGAAAGATTAGAAATGTCACGTGCTACTTTGCTTCAAAGTAACACGAGATTGCTATGGATGATTTTTATGCACACACCTTGTAAACGTATCACGTAACGTGCTGAGTTAAAACGTTCTCCTATCTTTCAGATTCAATTTCATTCTTATGTCTTATAATATTTAAACTTTTTAATTTAGTTAGACTTACATTAGTCTGTTGGTTGATAGTCGCTTCGAAACAGAAAAAAAAAACATAATTATATGCTCGAGTGAAAGTTTATAGAAAGGAAGCCTGTACCACATAAATCTATTTCTATGTACTATTATATTACTATGATACTATGTATTTGGAGATAGATTCATTTAATTTTTAATAGTTTATTTATTATTAGTCATTTTTTCCGTGATAATATTACATTAAGATAGGATAAATTCGATAATATTTATTTAACAATTTTTTAATGATTTGAAAAAGAAACATTTATTATGAGATCATTCTCATTTATAAAGACAATGAACGATAAAAGAAAAAATGGAAAGAAAAATGAAGTGCATAGATTTCACGGTTAGTTCAACGAATTGTTTTTGCTTCGTTAAACACATTCACCATAACTTTTACTATCCTAACGCAACGATCATACTTTAAGAGTGGATAATAATAACCGAGAAATGCACGTGTGCAATAAGTAATACATTAACGAAGTATTATTTTATTTACGAATGCACGAATAATATACGCGAAACAAATTACAATGATGTTCTATTACGACAGCTCATTTTTACGACTATTACTATTTCTAATGGTCAAATGGGTATTATTCTTTCGTGCACGAATTGAACTAATTTGATCGACGTTTTAGATCGTCACGCTAAAGTAACTTGACCTTTTTTTCACTTGCCATGCTACTTTTTCTTTTCTCCTTCTTTTTAATGAACAAATTACTCAGGAAGAATGACGTGTCGTCTTAATTTTCAATATTCAATTGTATAATGCAACGATAAATATATTTTGTTTTCATTTAATTTGTGACTTATCTCGCGTATATTACTTTTAAAAGAATAAAAATCTCCAATTAGTTTGTTTAAATTCTATTCCATTCGCGTGATATGTTTTATTCTATTCTATGTAAATTTGACGTAATTATCAAAATATAAAAATGGACTTCCTTATCCTGTTTGAAATCGTGTGCATTCGAGCCGATGCAACGAGATAAATGAGAGAGACAACTAATGCAACGATTCGTCGAGAAAATACAGGTTACGCGTATACGTATAGGTATTTCTCTATACATGTATATACTTATATGTATTTACACGCGACACACGTCTCAACTTTGCGTGTCACAAAATAAGTGGAGCGTGCACTGATACTGCTACCGATACTTTACACGTTGTGAACAATCGAAAAACGGTAAGGTGTTACCTACATTTCTACATATATATATAGGGTGAACCAAAAGTTCTTAGATTGATGAATTAAACAAAAAAATTCCTAGATAATGCGAAAATTGTTGGGTGGATCAAATGTTGCTAGGTGATTTGAAGATTTCAATCTTTCACGGTAACACATATATTATAATTTATATGTATTTACGTGCAAGTATATATCTACAATATATATATGTATGTATCTGTTTATTCGCATATGCATAAATATCGTCACGTTTATTTTTTTCACTTCTTTTCAAACATTATTTCTTCGAAATTTTACGAGATGCAATATCTTAACCGGAATTCATGACTCGTTTAATATTTCTTTTTTCTTTTTCCTTCGTGTTGCTATATATTTTTAAAGAAAATTGATGACATTGTTAAAAACAATTTGCGTTGTGATGAATATGAAATATTGAAAAGAATAAATTTATAAAAAGTGAACACAGTTACCGGTGTTCTCTAATACGATCCTAATCAACTTAATAATGTTCGAGTAAATAAAGTAACGTAAGAAATATAAGATCTCATGTCAGTTTCTTAAACAAATCTTAAAATCCGTGTTAACGATCCGCGGAAATATCGAATTACATCTTAACATGTAAAGAGAACAAGAGCCTGTTTCATCATCTATATACTCTAAGATTTAAGAAGAAGAAGAAGAAGTAGAAGAAGAATAAGCTACTTATATACGTGGCATAAAATAGATGTATATATATATATATATATATACATCGTATTCATGTGGTTACGGATTAGGAGTTCCTTTTAAAATTACATAAGTATGGATTTGAAGAACTTGAACGAACTAGCAGTATTCATTCGTGTAACTAACTACTTAAATATTAAATAGAAAATGATAAAGAAAGAACCTAAAGTTGTTAAACTTATATTTTAAATTAATCAGATCTTTAACGGGAGATTAGAATTTCAGAAATTTAATTTAGAATCTTAAAATTTGATGACGAATGTAGGAAGAAAATTAAACAAAAAATTCGCAATCACTTATTTGCCAATCCAATAGATATTGTTAATTAAGTTAAACAATAATTCATCATATATCACGCAAGAAATTGACGGAAACAGGTCGTGCATTAAAAAGACCAACATGAACGATGACATCATTGACGAACTCATGACTCCAAGTATTAAGAACGATCGTTATCGTTTCAACAAGTATATATGATACATACACATGTACATATATATACATGTTTGATCTATTGCTTAGAATGCTTGGATCATTTAAAACATCTACGTATATATGTGAACGTTCAGTCAATTTAACTATGCCGATTTATCTTTTATTAGTCGAGAGATTTCTACGCGCAGAAATTTTGACCTTGTACTTGAAAGATTGTAAAGAATCATGATTTAAAAAGAAGAAAGATAGAAGAGTATTTTTTAAGTACTATCGATCTCATTAACGCGATGACTATTTTCTATTTATATTTTTCATTACGTGTTATTCAGTCATCAGAAAATATATGTATTAGTTATACAATTCATTTAACGTAGATTGTTAGGAAAAAAAAAAGAAATATATATATATATGTATTCACATCGTGAAAAGAATATTTAATGTGAGAATAAATTAGAATAATTGTTTGGAATCGTTTAGACACGTGTAACGTAGGTAGTCATTTATACTATAATTTTATATAATTATTAATAATATTTTTAATTAGTATAAATTGCGATTAAAGTGAAGAAATAATTATTAAGATCCATCAGACGATTCTAATCATTTCTAATCCGTGCAGTCTATTGTTCTATAAGATTTCATTTAGTTTAGAAAATTATTTTCAATTATCCAATGAGATCAAATATTTTATCCTAACGTTTTCTATTATTTAACGTAAATGAATATTTGTTCATAAATTTCTACAATCTATATTATTTAATAAAAATGTAATATAAAAAAGTAATATTCAACGCGATCCCTTGTATGTATTTTATTTTAAAATAATTGATCACTCTTCTTCGTAAAGATAATTTTTATCAAAAAAATTCCGACATTTATTATTTCTCGAATTCTTATTACATTTTTATCGCATTACGATATCTCGTTACTCGATAAATATATTAATAGCAATTCAATGAACTTCTTTTTAATGATTATACTATCAACAAGTCAAACTCTTCCACTCATCTTTAATTCTACGTTTAACATATTTCTATTGAATTTCTTTCGCACGCATAAAATAATCTCCAATAAAAAGTGAACCATTGATCAAAATCAAATTTTCTAATTTCTAATCAATAATTTCAAAGTAAGTAACTAACATAATATACCTAAAACTTAAACAGAATAATATCATCAAAACTAGAACTGTGCTCCTGGCTAGAATATTATCCTTCGATATTATCGATTACAGCCTAAAGCGTTTTAGCATTTAGGTGAATCATAATCATTCTCGATGATACTCAAATTTCATGAAAATACATCCTTATCTTTGAACAATAATTAACATATTTCCTTTTCTCTCTCTCTCTCTCTCTTACATACACGTGCACATATTATTATATTATTGTTTTATACTTCAACCCACATACTATTTACTCGAACGGCTATTTAATTGACCAAGCAGACAACTGTTAAATTTCAATGGCGACTAAACCATCATAATTTTCACGATTACGTCCAATCCGTAACTTACAAATGTGAACGACACTTGACAATTAATAATAATCAAACAAATTCATGATAATAATAAGTGAAATCAAGATCTACGTGCGTATGTGTGAACGATTCGACCCACACCCTTCCACCACCATCACCATCACCTCTCCATGTAATTATTTTTACATTAAGGAAAGGATGATCTCATCGTTCTCAATAAAACACCTAACTCGTATTTTTAAAATGAAATTGCTGGTCAATATTAACCAAACCATGTAAGGATTATTTTCAAGAAACATATCTGAATGGTTACTTTATCTTTTATTTTTTATTTTTTTTTTTCTTACTCACCAAAGTGTCCTTGCGAATATCCGTAATAAACTCGTTGATGACACGTTCCTCGCTAATATTCTGTACATCCGATTTAAACGTAGTAACATCAGTTACGTCACTGACGTTTCTGATATCCTTGAAATCTGATTTGAAGGTAGTAAAATCAGTGACATCAATGGTATCCTGGACATCGCGAAAATCTTCAACGAATGTTGAAATTGTTGTCTTTTCGATTGGCTGATCAACTGGTGCCCGAGAAGTAGGTTTATCTTTGACATCTTCAGATTTTTTGCGATCGGGAGAAGAAGGAGAGAAAGATTTGTCAGTGTCCGTTGGTTTCTTTTTCAAATCCTGCGGCTTTTCGTAAACGAACGAACCATCCCAAGTGGATGCACCAGGTTTGGATGGTCGAATAGATCTGTCTTTCTTTTCAGGACTTTGTGGTCTTTTGTCTGCGTCATCGGGTCCTTTTGATTCCTTAATTAATATCGTTTTATCCGAAATATCATGAATCGTCTTAGACGAATCAATAATTTCACTCGTTGAAGTACGAACTTGCGTTGAACTGGTCAAATCTGTAGAGACATCTTTCAAAGTTACTGAAGTCGTTGGTGTCTTGTCATAAACGAAAGAACCATCCCAAGTTGAGTCAGCAGGTTTCGAGGAACGAGTCAATTTATCTGTTGGACTTTGGGGTCTTTGAATTTGTTTGACGTGTCTTCTTTCGTCAATAATATCTTCTCTTGTCTTCGAGGAGTCAATAATTTCGTTAGTCGAACTAGTTTTGTTGATTTCAATTGAACTGGTCAAGTTTTGAGTATCCTTCGTGACAATCGAACTTGTTTTTTTGTCATCGAATTTTTCATAAACGAATGAACCATCCCAAGTGGACGAACCCGGTTTGGTAGGTCGATAAGTTCTATCTTGAACATGCAATGATTCGTTGGATCCTTCAGTAATACGTCTTCTTCCAGTGTCAGGTGTTTCAGGTCTATCCTCAAACGTGATAGTTCGTTGAACGTTAGACTTTAAGTTTGGTTGTTGTCCATCTCTAAAGACAACCGTTTCGACGGAAGTAGAAGAGAAATCGAGGTTGGAAGAGTCGTAGTAAGTGTCATGGCTACTTATCTTGCGTTCTAACGTTTCTTCCACGTGTTCTTGTTGCGTTAGCGTGTTGTTAAACGTCTCGTTGGATGTCTTATCGTGAATATCGATAGTAACGTCGCTCACATGTTTCCTAGGTCTGTCTACCAATGAAATATTAACTTTACTGCTATCCCCTACTTTCGATACGTCACTGTACTTCTCTTCAATTTTATTCGTTCCTTGTTTTTTAATATCTTCCGATTTTTCTAATACGAATGTACCATCCCAACTCGACGAACCAGGCTTGTCAACGAACTTTTGTGGAACCTGATGAACTATGGTTTCTATCGATGACGTGTCCTTAATGTCAGTGAAACTTTGTTGACTCGAGGAATGTTCAACTATGTAAGACGTCGTTGAGATATCAGCCTCGTTGATCGAATGATCTTCAGTCACGTCGCGAATCACAAATGTCTCGTCCATTGTTGGTCTTCTTCTGTGACGATCCACTTTAGATGGCAATTTTTCGTAAACGAAACTACCATCCCAAGTGGATTCACCTGGCTTGTAACTGCGATCCTTTTTCATTGCCGATCTTGAAATATTTTCGTCTTCTTCGTGAATCGTTTCCGATACCGAACTTACCAATTCGACGTTTTTAGTATCGCTAGAAGAAGCATATTCGACAACGTAAGATGTTGAAACGTATTCGGACACGTTAGAAACGTTTTTTTGTTCTTCCGAAATATCTTGAACATCGACAACGTCACGTTTGTCGCTTCGCCTGATCATTTTATCGATCCCTTGTTGTTGCTTATCAAATTGAAGATTTTTATTCGAATCCCCGGGTCTCAATAATTTCGATTCGCCGATAGAAATTTGTGATTCCTTCGAGCTACTGATTTTTTCTTGCGAAATAAATTTCGACGTGTCGGTCGAACCTTCCCGAATATTAACGACATCGGACGATTCCTTTTCATACGTACCGTCTAATGATTTTTCTTTGTAATCACTGCGTTGAGTGGATTCAATGATATCGTCCTGATTGCCATGCCTAAAAACACTGCTGTCAGATACGTTGCCTTTTCTTTTAGTTTGAATGGGTTTCTCGTAAACGAAACGACCATCCCAAGTGGAATCACCAAGTTTTTGACGACGTATATCAGTGTTACTACTACTGCTAGATAATTTCGAAGTATCCTGGGAAGTGTGTTGTTTAATAATCGTATTTGAGGTTGACCCGTTGGTGATTTCAATGCCGGTAGCAGCATCAACTCTTTCGTCGATCGTTCGATCCAACATTTTGCCGTGCATGTCTTCTTGACTTTTACGAATTCGACTCGGTGAACTTTGTTCCTCGTACGTAAAAGTACCGTCCCAAACGGTTGTTGAACGTCCTGATTTGTTCGTAATATCAAGGCTAACACTTTCACCCGTTTCCCTGGCGTCATCGATAAATTGTACGACACGTGAACGCTGTTGTTGTTCGGCCGGTAAAAATTTCGTCGTCTCGTGTTCTACGTTTCTACTTTTAGACGACAATACTTTGCCATTGTCGTCGATCATTTGTGCGGATTCTTGTATACTTTTAACGTTGCTCACGGTCTCACCATTTTTCGTTATTTCTTCTTTAGATTGTTGATTCATTTGTTTAGTCTCGATCGAATTAGTCGAGGATGACACTTGTACACCACATTGATCCAATGAACTGCTACTTGTCTCAAATATTTGACTACTCGATGAGGATGACATCATTTCGGATCTTTTGTCTTGAACAATAGTAGTATGACCACGTTGCTGTTGCGGTTGCTGTTGCTGTTGTTTTAGGGATAACTTTTCCTGAATTAAAAAATCCTCTGATGTTTGACCATTCCTCTGTGTCAAATTACTCCTTCCAGATTTTTGAATCGGTGTTGAACTTTCGATCACGCGTATTACATTACCTTTAGAATCCATGATAACTTCCCGACTGGTATTGCTACTTTCAATTACACTACTTCTAGATTCCCTCTCGACAAAACTTTGAGCTTCTTCAAGGACGCTGCTAGATGATACCACTGTTTCAACAACACTCGTAGATGCCATCTCTCCTGTATTATTTCGACTATTATTCGTAGACATAATCGTCTTCCTTTCCCCGGAATCTTTTCTTCCCGTATTTGTCGATTCTTTCTTACGATTCAACGTCATATTTATTTAATTATTATTATACCCAGAGATCTCTAATTTTTTCAATCAATTACGATTATACTTACTCTCGTAATAATTATCCTTTATCAAACTTTTACAAAAGAAATATTTCTTACATATACATATAGATATATATATATAAATGTCTCACTTATATCTCAAGATATATTTTCCATTAGATATATTTATCACAAAATATACACCGTGATCGTTAAATAACAATTATAGATAGGAAAAAAACAAAAATGTCAGTCACGACAAAAATTAGTCTTCGAAATACTTGTTGCCTCACTTTTTTTCAAAAACAATTTTCTTTCTATCTCTCTCACTTTCTCTTTCCCTCTTCACTCTCCTCTCTTCTTCTACTCTCCCTCTCTCTCTCTCTCTCTCTCTCTCCCGTTCCTCGTTCTCTTTCTCTCTCTGTTGGGTTCGCAGGTTTAACAGGAAAAGGAGTGTGTGGTTTCACTGATGTTCTCTGCTCGATATTGCACGTCGATGTGGCATCGCGGCCAACTCGCGGGCCCTAGTGACCAAACACGATGACTCTCTCTCTTTCTGAACGATTCCTCTCTTCTTCTCTCTTATAATTCTATCTCTGTTTCTCTCGTATAATATGTTCTCACTTCAGCTTACGGAGAATGCTGATTCCCTCTACCTTCGAGACTTTACTCGACCTCGGCGTGGGACGTTTCTATATATCCCCCACTCTTTCATTTTCAATGTATGCGTTAACATGCATGCACATACGTATACGTATGTTTTGATCTGTGTCACAATGTGTGTGCGTGCATGTGTGTCTTTTCCTATATTTTTTTTTTACCGTATATGCGAATACGTGTGAGTGAGTATGTGTGTGGCACGCATGTGTGTGTGTCCTTTTAACGCACTCTATACTTTATACATAAATATGTATGTTTGTTTATACCGTATGTATAATGATCTTCTATCTTTCTTCTTATCTATTCTCTTATCTTGTTATATTTCTCTTTTATCTTTAAACTTTACTATAAGTTTTCTCCTCTCCTATCTTTTTCTTATTCCTAATGTTAGTCTCTTACTAATAATTATTTTTTTTCTCTCTTATATCTCACATATGTGTTTGTGTGCGTTCGATTTAAATTAGAAATGATTAGAATAATCGATGCATCTCTCTCTCTCTCTCTTTGCTTCATTTTTTCTTTCTACGAGTACAGCGAGTCACAAAAATAATTGAATAAATTGAATGAAATAATTCGAGGGATAGGGGGAAAGTTTAAACTTTGTTCGATAGATGACTAATCAAAAACAATGATTAGAAAAAATATATATATATTTGTGTCAACAAATTTATAAAAAAGATAATAGGAATAATTTTTTGGATTGAAAAATTTGAAAGTAGTAATGGGTTGGTTATTTTTCTTAAGAGATGTTACGAGAATACGATAAAAGAGGTTCGTTTGAGAGGAACTTTAAGCTCAGAGGAACCGGTTCCTCGTGACTACTAACTAAGACAACGACAACAACAACAACGACGACAACGACAACGACGACTAACATAAGACGATGTAAACCGAGCGATGACGTAGACCGTCACGAATCTTCTCATTCTTTCCCCTTTTCCCCCTCATCTACTTCTTCTTCTTCTTGTGGTCTCTTCGTTCTCCAATACGATGGAGACGCCATAGTTTCTACTTTTACATCAGAGAAATAAAGACAGATACAAAATAAGAGAGAGAGAAAGAAATGAGGAAATTGTATTATCTCGAAACTTTTGACGATAACTCATAAATACTATAAATAATGAATAAGTATCGTGGAATAGAATAATCTTTTGAATTTTTGATAGATAATGTGGATAAAAAAAAAAAATCAATAGTTTTGAAATAATCGTTTTTAATGAAATTCACTTGAACATATTTTAACAATGTTAGATCATAATTATAATTATACATTTTTATTTTATTGCGAATTAACCTGATATATCAATATTTTTAATATAATAAAATTCATTTGCATCTTTGCATAGGATGTATAGTAGTTACGATATTACTTATAAAATATGTTTGAAAAATGTTGAGAGTAAAATAAAATGAGAACACATCATTATGTATATTTAATTTATGTATATTTATTTGCCAGAAAGAGAGAGAAATAAAAGCAAATATCCATATATAGAATGAAATAAAAAATAAAAAAAAGGAGAAACGTGATCAATTTGAATTGAATTGAATTGAAACTAATAATAATACTTCGTTATCGTGGGCGCCCGCGAGGTTCGTGTCGCAAATTGACTATAATGAAAAGTTAATGACGTAGTCTAACGCATTATCGAAGCATGAAAAACGTAACAACGTGTTTGAATCATCAAAGAGAAGAAGAAAAAGGGAAAGAGAGAAAAAGAGAGAGAGAGAGATGAAAAATGGTATGCTATAAACGTGTCCTTGATGAGGAAACCTATTCGATGATATAATATGACGCAGGTAACGTGTGAAGTAAGATTTGAAAACATGTTCAGCACACAGTTTCCTGATATTAAAATACTTTTTTAGAAAAATTCAATTAAATCAAATGAAAATTATTTGATTGAACGTTATTCCATATTAAAATTATGCACATAAATCTCTCTCGCACCATGATTCATATTATTTTTACAATGACGAATCTTTTGTGATCACGCGTTAATATTATATATTGTGATCATATATAATAATAGATTTGTAAATTGGAATTATATGATAAAAAGAAAGGAAGGTATAAAAATAAAAATGCGCTTTTACGATAGTTCGAATTAACGCGAGTCAAGTTTACTTTCTCATCTCAAAGAGAAGAAGGACTTCTTAAATACACGTCTGTAAGATGCTACTTGAAAGAACACTCGTTCCTTCTCAGCTATCTAAGCGAGTATTAGACACTCGAACAAACTCGAAGGAACTACGAGGGAACGGTAATGGAATAACAACGACGATACTGGGGATCGTATCAAGAACCAAATGCATCTTAAATCTATGAAAGAGAAAAAAAGATAAAACGCGACAACGTTGAATAATTTTCAGCGATTATGGGAATAATGACATGAAATAAATGACCGATGATAGGATATAATCAACCTTTTTTATAAAATGATTCAACAGAGAAAAATCCCGAAGAAAAAGTATTGACCCTACCAAGAGAAGGGTTGAAAAGTTTGATCAAAATTTTAGTTACTTTTCTAATAAATATAATAAAAATGTACTCTGTATAGAAGAGGGATGAAAAGTTTAGAGTCCAACATGTGGAGGGTGATGGTAGGAGGGGGAGGTTACAAAAATTTGTATTTAATATTAATAATATTAAAATGAAAGAAAGAAAATAACACAGAAGAGAAAAATCGGACAAAGAAGAAGAAGTATCTCGAATAGAGCTAATAAATAAAGCATGAAGGGGCATTGGTTGAATCAGCCCTGACAACTCTCGGAAAAAAAAAAGAAAAAAGAAAAAAATCATTTCACTGTTCATCCCAAAAAGCAAGGAGAGGTCCCCGTTAAAGGAGCGAAAGCGCAGTATCACCACGCCTTGGTAAGTTCGGTAAAAAAGAATCGTCTGTTTAAACGAGACAACGTGGGCAGAGAGAAAGGGAAATATAGAATGATAGAAAAAGAAAAAGAGACAGAAAGTTTCGAGAAATACAAGACGCGTTTCCTTTTGCACGAGTACGACGATGCACCGTATATGGCGAATGACACGAAAACTGTAGGCGAACCGGCATTCGATTGGCTGCGTCATCCATGGCGAAAGAAGTAAGTACATAAGTACATATGAATCTACTTGACAGACTTATGTACATATAAGTATGCTTAAGCTCATAAATGAATGATATTTAATCAGACAATTTCGCACGCATACTTATATCGTTGTTTTTAATATACAATATTATCTCTGTCATTGATTGTTTTTTTAATATTCTAATAAAACCAAAATTTGAACCCCTTTGTTTTCCCTTATTTTTTAAAAAATGGGATTAAAAAAAACCCACGTAAATGTATACTTGAAAAATGCATGGTCGCGCAAGCACAGATATCGAGAAGGTCTCTAATCGGATTCTTTAGCAATTGGTACGTGAGACGGATTGGAAAATTACACTTGGGAATACAAATTTTTGATGGATAATAAGGTTAAACGTATGCGAAGGTAAAAGTAGTTTTTGCTTTTCAGAATCTCTATCATTTATCTCTCTCTCTCTCTCTCTCTCTCTCTTGCTTATCTTTTTTCGATCGAAAGCTCGAGTAACTTAAAAGAGAGTATGAGAGAGAGTTACTCTAAGAGAGAAAGATAGATAGATAGAGAAGCTGAGGCTATCTTCGTAATGGATCGCACTATAATGAAGTACGGTACGACGCGCTCTCTTATTAATTAACGTTAAAAGGGAAACTTTTGTAATTGCGCTTCCGAGACGGAACGACGTACCCTGACCTCTTCTTCTTCTTCTTCTTCTTCTTCTTCTTCTTCTTGTTCGTTGTCGTTGTCTTCGTTGTCGTTGTCTTCGTTGTCGTTTTAGTCATCATCGTCCTAGTCGTAGTGTTACATTGACGTTAAGAAGACCCTGAAATATCGAACCTTTCTCTTCAGAACTTACTATACTTTACTTTTCTCTAATTAAAATGTCTCTCCTTTCTATATATTCTAAACTATATTTACTCTAAATATTTATTTACATATATTTTTCTATTTTATGTATATGTTTTATCATTAAAACACATTTAATCTAATTATAACAATTGTAATATAAATTATAAAACAGAATTGTATACTTTAATCAGTTAATTATTCTTTATTTAAATTACAACAATTTTAACATTGGGTATAGTAAAGATGATTGGAAAGAATCTTACACGATGCAATTATAATGTTATTCGTTACAATTACAGATAATTTAATCTGTATATCTATTAATATAAGTATCATGAATACGTAAACGTATAAACAGAGAATACTATAAGATACATAGATACATATACGATTCATATATCCTGTTATTATAAATTTATTCGTATCTATAACCGAGCATAGTCTCAGATCGATCGATAAAGTCAACCACTGTAACATCGTTCTTACTATTTCTGATTTTTCTTTCTTATATTTTACATACCTCTAATAGTTAGGTGTAAATCTTGTTACTTAACAATTGCAAGTATTCGTGTGTCCTATCATTTGTTTTATTATTAATAATTTAAAACGAAAAGATATATAAAAAAAAAATTAATTTTAACTTTGAATATATAAAAGAATCGTGTGTGCGTGAATATATTTTTGTGTGGTCTTGTTTCTTTTTTTTTTAAATGAAGTTTAAAGTCAATAAAAAGATATTACAGTGTTAATAAAAGAATATTGAATGTAAGACGCTTTGTTCGAGAAAGAAAGAAGTGGCTTTCAGTATAAAACCAGAATGCTTTGGTACCCAAAAGGGATCTCTTTCGGTTGACCCACTTTAAAGTATCACAAAATATTCAAAGGGAAGAAGAATGCGAATAATCTGTAAAACGAAGATGGCAAAATTATTCGAATAAGAATCTTCGATTTAATACTAATTACATTAGTTCTAATTCATTTCTTCTTCGCTTTCTTGTATCCGATGACAATTTTCAATAATTAAATTATTACCCCGGGACCTTTGAACAACAATATAATTAAA